AGACAGTAGCTGAGGTTCCCCCACTCGGTGCACCTCGGTGGTGCAGAGGCCGCCGTGCTCCTCGTGGCTCCGTATCCTGCGCCTGCCTGCTTCACGATGCCAGGGTAGCTCCCAGCGGCCCCGGGCTGGTCACAGGGGTCTGGGGCTGCACGGATATGAGCCTCAGGGGGACCTGAGTCCGACCTAACTTCCTCCTGGCCGCTCTTGGACACCTCCATGTCCCTGTGCCTTGTCCTCTCCTTGGGCGTTCCAAGAGCCTTCTCAGCTAACTCCTGCGAGGCCAGCTCCTGCGATTTCCAACCCTGAGAAGAACTGAACGATTTCTTCTTTGTGCATCCAGACGCGAGTGCTCTGGAAGCCCTAGTTGAGGGAAGCCCTAGTTGGCGCTGCTGGCACTGTTGGGACTGCGGTGTTTCCTTCAACACCCAACCCACCTCGGTTCTGTGGGACTTGAACACCGCAATGCGCCAGTGTCCCATGCTTTCTCGGTCTTTTTCCAGGGCCATTTTTACGTCATCTCCTGATCCAAGTTCAACAAAAGCCTCACCACTCTGCCCACCCCTCTCTGGTGTGGATGAAATTCGCCTGCAGCCCGGCATGGTGCAGTTGGAGAGGACGTCCTGCGCATCCTCAACAGAGCAGGGCCAGGGCGCGCCACGCAGCCTGACCACAAAGCCCTCCCCTCCCTCAGGGCTCAGCAGCATGGACTCTTGATGGGGTAGGTGTCAGGTGAGTGGGGTGTGGCTTTTTTTGTGGCACGGAGTCGGGCAGAACTGGTTTCTGTTGCTATCAAGCAAGCGTGGCTGGCAGCCGAGGGCCCCCAAATTCCAACGAAGCGCGACCACGCAGAGGGCTCCCGGGAATGTCCAGGTGCCTCTTTTTGTTCTCAACCTGCATCAGAAGTCCACGTGGACTGGGACGGTTGCCTTCCCTGAGGTCTGAAGGCCCCAGCCTGATGCAGGTGTTTGGCTGAAAGCAGGGAACCCAGGCCTTTGGACCAGGTGACCATGTTCTCACGGCCTCCTCCCGGCACTCCAGCAGCCTCAGAGGTTATCCGTATTACTTTTATGTATGAAAAATGGAGGCCCAGAGAGATTGTTACTGTTAGAACTGTTTGTGGTATAGACAGAAAACTAAATTCCAACAATAAAGGGAATTGATTGGTTCACATAACTGAAGCGTATAGAGGTCTATTAGCTTCAGGTGTTGTTTGAACCAGTTGTTCACTGCCCAGCAGTATAACCAACATTCTGTTTCTTTCCCCATTCTGCTTTCCTCAGTATTCTTTCACTGCCTGGCAATCTCATCTCTATCCTAGTGGTCACACGTGGCTGCATTATCATTGATCTATCATCAATCTATCATTGATAGGATCTACAACAGGCAGAGGAATCTTTTCTTTGCCAGAAGCCCTTTGCAAGCGTGTTTCAAATCCCTTTGCTCTGATTGGGTTTCATGACTGCCCTTGAACTAACTTCTGTAGCCAGGCGGATGGGATAGAAACAATGGCTTTAAGACAATCAGGCCCAACTCCTAGAGTCTGGGGTCAGGTGAACAACCATAATATCATATAGGTTAGAATGGAGAAAAGTGGTTTCCCAGATTTTTTTTTGGGGGGGGTTCCAATGGTGGGAGAATAAAGAAATGGATACTGGGAAGACTGACAGCAGGTGTCCAAGGGCAATGTCTTATCCAAGGTCAAGCCGCTGGTCATGGCTAAGCTGTGACTGAAATCCAGCTCTCCTTACTCAACGTTTGCAGATGGGTGGTTATATAATTCCATTTAAGGTACATGTTTCACAATAGCCATCCAAACAGAACCATGGATTTGCTTGCTTACATTGTTTGTTCTTCAACTATGATTAAAAATATGTACTAAAACACACTTTGCCATTTAGTCACAGTGATGAAGACAATTGTCTGAGTTAACTCATTCTGTATCTTATTAAAGCATGAAGGATTTCAGGAGAAATTAAGATTTTAGAGAATGAGAACTATCATTTAAATAAGTGTCCTCCAGTCTTACTAGGGTCTTGGCAGTGTTCTGGAATGTTTTTCAGAAGAGGAATCAATTTTTTTGATAACCTATATGAGATGCCTCCAGCCCGGATTTTCATCTCTGTGATCAAAAGATTTGTTAATGTCCTATATTGAGATCCCTTTCTCTTACTCAGGAATTATGGAGGCAGAGAAACAGAAAAGAAGGCACAGCCCTCGAGGAACTCTATGTTTGGTGGGAGAGGCAGATAACAAAGCAGGTAGGTGAAATACCATGACAGTGAGTGAGTGGGTGGGAAAATCAAGTGCCTTGAGAACACAGAGGAAGGCAGAATGTTGGGATCAGGGAAGAGCCAGGGAAGGCTTTCTCAAGTGAGCTGGATGGGAGCAGGGAGGGGTTCTATGGAGGGGGCTCATGAGTATTTAGGCATGAAACCTCATAGATTATGTGAAACCCCAAATCATTCAGAAGGGCAGAGATGTAAGGGCAAGGTAAGGAGTAGGGCGAGAAGGTGCAGACAGGCAGCCTGGAACAGAGTAATGGAGGGTCTTGGGGCTTGTATTACGGAGCTTGGTGTCTTTCCTGTAGGTGATGGAATGCTTCTAATGAATTTTCAGTAAAGACATGGTTTGTGTCTTGGACACATTTCTATATCAGATTCTTTGGTTGAAGATAATTCTAATTAAGTTCCTACAGGGGAGTGCACTGGAGATATATGGGATCCTTCAGAAAACCCAATAAAAATCTGAAGAACCCAGGCTCTTAAGGAATTTCCCAGGACCTACATAGCAGGAATCAACTGCAAGTCCCCTCGGTCAGGAAGTATCAGGGCCAACTGCCCCTAGCGTTATTCCACCTAGGATTCAAATTCCTAATGAAAGATGTCATAGTGCTCCAGCTTGGGGGCACACCTGGCCTGGGCCAGGTAAAGTCATCATCTTCACTGGCAGTCCCCCTAAGTCCGTATCTCATGGAGTGAGTTCCTGAAGGAAAATCAGCGTGATGTTACCCTAAGAAAGAGCTACGCTGGCTGAAGTAATGGGTGTCCACTTCAACAGCTGTGTGGAAACTAGATCCGAAAGGCACTAAAGACGATGGGAATTAAAAGTCAAAAGACGGTGGAGCTATGGACCAGGGCTGTGGTAATATTGTGGGATTTACAAACATTTATGAGATAAAAATTGGTGATTGATTTTGGCAGAAGGAAGAGGGCAGAATCAAGGATTATTCCCAGGTCCTAGAATGTGGTAGTAGATATTACTACTGGAGAGAAGATAGAAGATGGGGAAGGGGAGATGACAAATTGCTTATGACATGCCAAGTTTGAGAACTCTGTGGGACATCAGGTGGAGGCTAGAATTTGAAGCATAGTAACTGAACTGAACTCATAGGTATGGACAATATAACTTAGGAAGGATTCTGGAAGGAGCCACAGAAAAGATCAAAATAAGTTTTGAGCTTTGAAAAGATTAAAATAGATTTGCCAAGAAAATAAGATCAAAAGACAAAGAACAGAAGGAGGAGGGGAACCAGGAATGTGCGGGGTCATAGAAAGCCACAGGATAAAATTTCAAGGAGAGAGCAGATTTGAGCTCTGGTGCAGGCAGAAGCCACATTCTAGGAAGCTAATGTGTAAGTGGGAGTGAAAATGTGTGGGCTACCCTTGCAAGAATCTTGGATGAGAAGGGCTGGTTAACTGCATGGTAACTTGGAGGGCATACAGTGTCGAGAGGTTTTTGTTTGTTTGTTTTGTTTTTAATTATTTGGTCATTTGGATTTTTGGTTTAAATTATCATTCACATGCCATAAAATTCACCTTTTAAAGTATACAATTCTGTGGGGTTTTTTGTTATATTCACAAAGTTGTACAGTCATCATCATGGTGGTACATCACCACTGTCTAATTCCTTAACATTTTAATCACCCCCCAAAGAGGCTTTGTACTCATTAAGCAGTCACTCCTCATTCCCCCCTCCTCCCAGTCCCTGGCAACCATTAGTCTACTGTCTCTATGGATTTGCCTATTTTGGACATTTCATATAAATAGAATCATACACTATGTGGGTTTTTGTGACTGGTTTCTTTCATTGAGCACTACAATGTTTTTAAGGTTTATCCATGTTGTAACATGTAACAGAATTCATTATTTTTTTATGGCAGAATACTATTCCATTGTATGGATGGACCATAATTTGCTTATCCATTTGTCAATCGATGGACATTCAGTTGTTTCCTTTTTTGGCCTTCTGAATACGCTGCTATGAACATTCGTGTACAAGTTTTACTATAGACATGTTTCCAGTTCTCTTGAGTAGAACTGATTTTTGTTGGGCGAGACCTGATACTGTTTACAAGCTGAGGGTAGGGAGCTGGTGCGGCGGGAGAGGTGGGAGAGCCAGGGGATGGGGAGGAGGAGGGAGGGCTGGAGCAGAAGAGGCCACTTTCTTCAGCATCACTCACTTTCTGTTTGGCACAGCCCTAATGCGGGCTAATCTCACTTCACATCTTCTAGACCCTCTGCAAACACCTCATACTTGCTGACCAGGGAGCGAACCCAGCGCTTGAATAAAGCACCCCTAGACCCGGCAGAGCCAGGAACCGGTTGGCTGGCTCATTTTCTGATGCAGATCACAGTTTTGGGGTCTCCTCTGGTTAGAGCCTGGCCCATTCGGGTTTGGTTTTCTCCTGGATGTTCATTCACAGGTGAATAAGGTCAATTCACCGTGGAGTCTGGGTCTGAATCCTTGTTCCTTAGGTCATCCTGGGGTCCCAGCTGCCCGGGATGAAAAAACGATACCCGGGTATCAGGGGTTGGGGATCAGGAACGCCCGCGCTCAGCGTAACCGCTACCCTCCCCCGCCACCGCGCACGCGCCGCTTCCCTGCCAAGGAAGGGGCGGGGAGTGGGCGGGGCGGGCACCTTTGGGGCCAATTGGAAGCGAGCATCCCCGCCCTCCGAGCCGATGGACCGAGTTTGACCCCGGCGGTGGGCGGAGGAGGCGGGGCGAGCCGCGCAGCCAGGAAGGGGGCGGGGCCCGGGGCCTGGAGGCGGGGCCTGGGGCTGTCAGTCCCGCGCCCGCCGCCGCGCCGCGGCTCCTCGCATGCCGTGGCCCGGGTGGCTGCCAACGCTGCCGCCCGCCGCCCGCCACCCTGGCACCCCAAGCCGCCTCCCGCCGCCCCGGCCCGGCGCGCAGGTAAGGCTGGCCGCCGCTGCCGAGCCATTGCGCCCCCTTCCTCGGGTTCGGTCCGCCGCGCGGGCGCCCTCTCCGGGCCGTGTCAGCGCCGCAGCTCCCCACTGCGCCCGGGGGCGGTCCCGGGGGGCGGGACGAGAGCCCTCCCCATCCCCCCGCACGCCTCCGGGCGCCGGCCCCCACAGCTGGGGTCCCCTGTCCGGCCTCCGCAGCTCTGGCGCGAGGAGCTGTTCTGAGCCCCCCTTCCCCGGCGGATTACACAACCTCCGGCCCTGGGGCGGGGGCCCCTCCTCAGCCCCGGCCCCACACCTGTCCCCGCGACGCGGTCCCAGGCAGAGGGCAGAGACCCGGCGCGACCGCGGGGGGCAGGAAAGTTTCACTTTGTGGTCAGGGTTTGTTGACGTCCGAGAGATGCGGGGAGACGGAGGCTGAGCGGCGAGGATGCGCCTCGCCCGCCGCGTTCCCTGTGCCCGGGGTGGCCCTGGTCCAGGTTTCCGTTTCAGAAGTCCTGCCGGCAGCCCGGCTCTGGGCCGGGAGGGTGCTGCTGCAGGGCGCGCGGGTCTCTCGTCTCTACGTTAGCGAGCTCTGGATTGCAGCAGTCTGGGGACGGCTCAGTCTCTCGCACTTGCCCCCTTTCTTAATTTAGCATTGACATTTAGACCAGTTGGGCGAATTTACTTAGCCTTTTCCTGACACTGTATTGGTGAGTTGCTTTCCCATCCGTAATTAGTTAATTAACAAGGTGGGAAAGCTAAATAGATCCTGGAACGAAATGCCTTCAGTCTGGCAACTCTTTAAAAACCTCTGAGAGCTCTGGGCTCGGTGCGTGGAGAGATGCTTTTGGCCAAGGTGAGAGAGCGATTCCACGTCTTCTGGTTGCTCGAGGAGGCTTTGGTAATAATGGCACGGCTTTCTCTGCCTCCCGCTGATTGTGCCGTTTATTGAGGGTCTTCAGTCTGTGGTGGGTTATTTGGTTTTCTTCACTCAAGAAAGGAGGAATCAGAAGTGTTGCTGATGAAGCAGTTAAGGAGAACACTGAGGTTCAAGTAAGTTTGGATACTTGTCTGCTTTACCAGGTTACCTTCGTGTTCAGAAAACCTTGGCTCTTCCCATTCTCTCTCCATCCTCTCAGTAGGGCTGTATCCAGCTGGGTTGGCATTACTGGTTCCTCCTTTAGTCTGAAGACCTCTTGCTACTTGAGTGTACAGTTCTGCCTAGGGATAACCTCTAAGAGTGGACTTAATTAGCACTTTTATCTGTCCGTTAAGCAATACAGCTTGAAATCTCTTAGGCGCTGTTGTAGTGTTGAATCTTTAATAATATCGATTTATTTTAATAGTGTTTCTATAATAATCTTTCTATTAGCATGCCAGTTCTGCAACACCAGTAGTTTTGGTATAGAAGCAGCAATTTACTAGAAATATTATCATGGTTAAAAACAGTTCTCTAACAGATTTGCAGCCCAGTTTACTTAGATAATTACTGATAGAGGCTGTTAAGATTTGTTTTTAAGTTTATTATTTGGTGCAGTAAATGTTACAATGCTTCTGATGTATGAGGTCTTTATGAGGTCATTCCTTCCTGTAGTAATGATTACAGTTCTTGTGTCACTTAAATCTGTTTTGGAATAATAATCTATGAGTTTTCACCCATGCTGATTCATTTTTAGACAAAATTCAGAGCTAAAAAGATTTGGTTTTAATTTGCCAGCCTATGTTTTAATAAGGAAGATATTTATTGTATTTTGGGTGTTACATTAGAGGTAGGATAGCATGTTTTATTAACATACGTACTGTTTTTAGGGGTTTGCAGATATTAAGCTACTAATTCTCACAACAGTCCTATAAGGAAGGGATGATGAGATTTAGGCCCAGTTGCTTGACTCCGATCACATAGTTAAGTAAATGACAGCCAGATTCTAACCTAGGCAGCCTGAGTTCAAAGTCCAAGTACTTACCACTGGACTATCCTGCCCCTGCAGATTATGCTTTCAAGAGGCAATTATTTCTACCTGCTGTCTGTACAATATGATATTCTGCATGGTGGGGAGGAGAAGAGCACTTTACAGTGTAACAACAAACACCGGGTTAGGAGTTCTTGTTCTGGTCTTAACTCTGCCACCAGCTAATCTTGTGATTTTGAGCAAGAAACCTTTTCTCCTTCCCTTTCAATTCCTCACTGGTGGAATAACAGCAATTGAAGCAGATGAACTAACTAGCCTTACTACCCTAGGGAACTGGAGAGATAAGTCAATGCAGATAAGAATAAAATATCCTTCTTCCTAAGGCATAAGACCAGGTGTCAAGTGAATGGAGTGTGTGTCATAGGAAGGACTAGGAGGGCATATATTCTGCTGAAACTAGTGGCTACCCATGGGAGTGCGGTGGTTAAGGACTTCATGGTAATACTTCAGTATTGTTTTATTTTGTTGCACCAAGGATTGTTACTTTTGTAATTAAAAAAAAAAACCACGACAATTAAAAGAAGTCATCCTATAGAGGTGGGGTAACCATGTGCAGGACCATGTGAGGAGCATTATAGGGGACTGTCTGGCATCACTTTGCAGGAGGCATCACTTTGCAGGGGCCAGATGATGGTAGGACCTGCATGGCGGACCAAAGAGTTCCCAGAATCATGGGAAGTCATGCTTGAAAGGAAACTTTAAAAGTCATTTAGTTTAACTCCCTCCTCCCATCTCCCTCAGTCATCTATCTAGTGGATAAATCCCCCTGCGTGCGGGCCCCTGTCCCACTCAGTGCTCATCCTGCTTCTGCTTGGACACCTCCAGGGTCAGACATTTGGTGTGCTTCACAAACTGTGCACCAAAGAAGACAGGATTGTATCTGGTGCTAGGGAATGAGAAACCACAGAAGGCTTCTGGCTATTCTAGCTTGTGCTCCTGAAAGACTATCCATTGTCAGAGTGAAAGTTATATTTGAGGAGAAAGACCAAACCAGGGAGACCAGTTAGGAGGCCATGGCCAGAATCTAGGATGAGGGTATCCAGGCTGAGATCAACAGTGGCATGAAATGGGTCCAGGAAGGAATGGACCCCGGAAGGCAAAATCCCTGCACCCAGCACCTGCCTGCCCATAAGCAAGAGAAAGGAGGAACAAGATGACATTCCCAGGGGAATGGCGGGGGGCAATAAGAGGACAGAGGTTTGGGAGAGCCACTGATTGGAGCTGGGAAATCCACTGGGGTGGGGAGGAGAGACAGTTTTAAATGCATAGCCCCCAAAGCTGTATCGTAGACTGTGTCTAATGCAAGGCCTGTGCAGACCAAAAACAGATTCCTCAAGAAGGGAGTGTACCATCTAAATTGGTGGGAAACCCTCTGCCTAATGAAGAAAAATTGCAGTATTTCCCAGTGGGTGTTGCAGCTTTTGACACTGGCTCATTTAACCTCCCATTGCACTTCTTGGTCAGGTTGGGAATCGGGTATTCTTCCTGCCTCAGAGGTGAAGGGGGTGGCGGTGAGATGGAGCCTGCACCAGTGAGTCTTTCTGACTCCGAGTCTTAAATACAGAATTGGAACTGGGAGCTGTAGGGCTGGAGCGTTTTGTGTGTGAGAGGATGCTGCCTTCCTGTGGTTACACAGAGATGAGATTGGGGTGTGACTCTTTGGAGTTGGGTGGGGGGACGCATTGGCGATGCTTTTTTCTGATTTTGTAGGGAAATGTTCTTTTAGGGGATTCTGTTGTCCAGTGATACCTGTTAAATAGGTTCTGGAGAGCCAATGCATGTCATGGGGAGTACTGAGAAAGTCATTGGAAGTTTTTCTTTCCGATTCAAACACAGATTATGTGGTGTTCAAAGAGGGCTCGGAGCACAATATTTGGATTATCACATTGACTGGAAAACAGGATAATTTGGAGGAAACAAATAAGATTCACATAGGAAACCATGAAGACAGAGCAGATTCACACAGGAAGCCGTGAAGACAGAGAAAATATAGTTGTGAAGGTTTTAAATTAATTTTACTCTTGTTACTTTATATATTTCTGGCTTAGGATACAACATTTACAAAGTATTTATATTTACAAATTTATAAGTTGGAAGATGTTGTATATGTGGGAGAAAAACTGTATAATCTCATTTTTTGGGGTGTGGGGCCAGGACAATATTGTTCTTGGATTTTCAATATTTTTTAGACTAGTAGTTCTTTACTAGAGGTGATTTTGTCCCTCAGGAAACATTTGGCAATGCCTAGAGATCTTTGGGTTGTCATAAGTTGGGGTGGTGTTTGTGCCACTGGTATCAAGTGGGTACAAACCATAGATGTTGCTGAACACCCTGTAAGGCATGGGACAGCCCCCACAACAAAGAATTATTCAGCCCCAAATCTTAATAGTGTTGAAGTTGGAAAACTCCACTGTAGGCAATTAAAAAAAAAAATTACTAGGAGCAAAATGAGTTTAAAGGGAAGAAGAAGAAAATACAAAATATTCCTATAAGCTGATCACGTCTGACATCCAAGAGGAAGAAGCAGCTAAACAACCTGTTGGAACACAGGCATTTGCCTGCCACCTAGGAGCTATTTCAATAACTGGGTTGTTCGGCACAGTAGTCTGGAACAGGAAGTAGAGACCGTAGTAGTAGGAAGAGGCTGTAGGGGTAATTAGTAGAGGCAGAAGGGTTTATAGGTCAAGAAGGGAAGCTGGGTTCTTCCAGAATACTTTTGAAAAGTTCTAGTGAATTTTTCAGAGGTTATTTTGTTAAGGACATTGAGTAGTGTTTAGGAGATACAGTCTCCACTCTGAGGGTGCATGAATCCTCTAGGCTGTTGATGAGAGAGCCTGAGCACTTCCCAGGTTTTTTTGTGTCTAGACATGAGTAGAGGGTGAAGAACACTTGGTTTTGTTTTCAGATTATATCTGTGTCCTCCTTCGACCCTCCCTTTTAAAACTTTTTCGTTATGTAAAATTTTAAACATGCACAAAAATGGAGAAAATAGAATACTGAACCCCTGTTTACCCAATGCCCATCTTCAGTGATTGTCAAC